GGTCTTCCTATCAATATGACCAAGTTGCGAAAACAGGGTCAAACAACTTTTATACAACGAAAGGAGACTGCGACCACACAAAGGGCCACACCATCTTGGTCTTCATACTTTCTGCATAAACAAATTCAAATCTACTCTGTTCTGAACTATTGGTTAAATTCTTATATAATAAATTTAAGTTTGCTCTTTGATAAACTGGGTTAAGTAGTATCAGTCTAATTAATCCATTTTATTAGCCATGAAAATCATTTTTATTTCAATTAACCGCTATATCTAATTATTATTTTCATATTTTAATCTTCTGTGTACTCTTATTCATCATGTCCTTAATTAGTGTTCTGCTATTTTTCGTTAAGTGCCTTAGCTTAATTTTATTTTAATTAACTTCTCATAGGTAATATAATATGAGATAAATATTTAAAATGATCCTCCACAATTATACAGATAAAATTCGTTTTCCTTCCTTTTGCCCTACAATATTTTGGCACACTTACTCTATTTATATGTAAACTTCCAAAATTTCATATGATCGACCCTAAAGAAGAATACCTATATTGAATCATGGCTAAGATAATTTCAATGCAAAATTAAGGCCCACATATATCATTGTATAAAAGTCCAACTATCGCTCTGTCTTAAACACATGCGACCTAGGGTGAATATAAATCTTATATAAGATTTGGTAATAGTTTTGAAACATAGTTTTTATTAAAATTATAGGTCAGGAAGACTAACTGGTTCTTCCTTGCATGCGATGTATACCTACAATAATAATTGAAAATATCTGAATTAAAGGAGATGTAGAATGATCTAATTAGTCACCTTTCGTGTCATACTATGTGTCTGTAAGTTGTATCTAGATACAGTTAAAACGTAATGGTCAGACCCCTGGAGCTAATTAAGGTAATGAAGTTGCCGTCGATCAGAATAAATTATGATTTCTTTTCATCACACCCATTTACTCTCAATAGAAGTGAGCAGAACAACGATTATTGAACAAAAATTGACATTACAATTGGGTTGACCTCGTTGTCGAAACTTGGTCATGTTAGCAGGGGGATTCAGTAAAAGTCCGAAGTCCTCCGCCTTGGTAGTTATCATAATTGTCAGTATTAGACAGTGGACTTGGTATATTCTCAGACGTTTCGCCGACATCGTAGTCGGCATCATCAGTGAGTGTTGCTATTCTCCAAAGAGACAAGTGAAGTCAGTCCATCGACAACCGTTCTGTCGAAAACGGTTACATTATCACTGCTCTTGTCTCTTTGACGAGTTCGTAGCTTGGTGTGGAGAATAGCAACACTCACTGATGATGCCGACTACGATGCCGGCGAAACGTTTGAGAATGTACCAAGTCCACTGTCTCATGC